TATCTGACCACCACACAGAATATGAAGAATATCAAAAACTTTAGGAGTCGGCTGTCCACAAAAGTCCTAAAGATACCAGCGTGATAACACACTCAATCAGTTGAATGAATGACTCAATACTCACTCATTAAGTGACTTACTGTCACTTACTGGTAGTTTAGTTGAGAAGTATGTTGGAAAGTATGCATTTTGCCCTCAACATTTCTTATTTGTATGCATTTACAAATGCATTTTAAATGCATTTAAAACATTAATCTCGTAACATTATTTATTGCAGTTGTAATTATTGTTATTTGCTGTGTAAATTATTTAATCTGACTGGTAGCAGCCCTATAGTTTATATTGAATTTATTGATAAATTGTAATAATTTGACATGTAAGATGATGCATCTAAAAAGGTTAAAAATAGGCCTTTGTAAAGGTAAATATGCAGATTTAAGTATGTAAAAGCTGATCGAACACTGATGAAAATATTGCTTCAGAATAAATTGTTTACTCCACCAAAAATCTCAGTGATGCAGTTATTTTGCGGGGATATTTTGTATGGAATATTGTCTGCTGACATGAAAAGTTCACTGTATATCGTAGTAATAAATATCATTTATTACAGCAATGATATTCTGTTTTCTTTTTAAGTTATACACATTAAATATTACATATATGTACGTAATAAAATGTGTATTTCCATTACAGGTTTAGGTCTTAAATTTCATATAAGTTGGTATTAAAAAGGTCTTAAAAAGTCTTAAATTTAACTTGTTCATGTCTGCAGAAACCCTGCATATGTTTGCATCAACTTCTTTAGAAAGAAGGAAAATATATATTAATTTTCCACGAAATGATATAATGTGAGGATGTTTGGACGCTGCCTCAATATACTGTTATCCTTTCAGCCAAAGCAACAGAGCGAGCTCACAGACCGAAAACCGGAGTTATACGAGTCATTAAACGGATATTAAATGTATTACATATTTGGATTCAGAATCAACAAAGACACAGGACAAAGACAGAACAAGAAACCAAATAAATACACGATTATAATCATTTAAGTTCTTCCAGCGGTCTCTGGTATTTTCATAAGCATAACATGTATTTATTATTATTTATTATTATGGTTAGCATACGTAGCCTTTAGCATCGCATATGATAAATTTCTGCCTCACACAATGAACAGAATTCCCATCGGATCGCAATCGTAAGTTATTTCAGACACTCGCTGGTGTCTGAAGGTTCATTTTAAAATAGTTTAAAAAATGTTTTGAATGTTTTAAATGCAGATTGTAGCTGGTAGCCTGATATGACGACACAGGAAATGAGAAGCGGTGCCGACCGTCTCCAAACTCGGATAAACTCCGTGTTTAAGCTTGCTTTCGTGGATGAGTCATGTTGGGGAGAGATCCACCGTGTCCCGAGCTGTAGAGATTGGACGATTGGTATCTTGGGGCGGCCCAGGCTAGTTCTCAGCCCCTGCCCCAGTGCCATTCTTTCCGGAAGTGCATGAGGAGATTACTAGGTCGTGGACGGCACCTTTTTCTGCCTGAAACCGGTCTGGTACCTCCTCCCCCCTCACTACCCTCGATGGTGGGGCAGCCAAGGGGTACCTGGCGATCTCCCCGGTGGAGCACGCTGTTGCGATGCAGTTGTGTCCGAGGAGCGCTTCCACCTGGAGGGGTAACCCGCGTCTCCCATCCAAAGCCTGTAAGTTCTCGTCCGTTCTCACGGCCAAGGCTTATGGAGCCACAGGACAGGCTGCCTTCGCCTTGCACACCATGGCTCTCCTGTAGGTATAC